GGGTTTTCTCTTTAGTGCTGCTCTTGCTCAAAACTGAGGGGGAACGGGTTGCTCCCAGGCCGTCCTGCTGTTTCTCGTCGATGGGTGCGGACTCTGTAGAGACCCTGGGTGGAAACGGAACAGTCAGTGTATCTTTTTAGAATTCTGTGACTGAGATGCAGTATTCTAAAGCAGAGGGAGTGACTACTGGTCTTTCTTCTGTCCGGGCAGAACCCAACTCCAATACATACGGTACAGATTGGGAGATGGGTGTGAGTGTCAAATCTATGATGAAAATCTATAAATCCAGAAGGTACTAGCACATTGAAAGCTAGGAGACTTATATTATTTATCTAAAACGTGCAGTATAAGGGCATTACAATAATTATTTAATGCCAATATTTCCTTTAATATTCAAGCGGTAGTGATATCCTGCACACTTTAATGATCTAGAACTGCCATGCTTAAAAACATGCCTTTTTTTACACTTTAGTTGGATCAGTTCAGTGAATTGTAAACTTCATTTCATTGGAAACAAGAGACCCTACCTTTGGTAGCTACTGTAGGTTTTACATACTGTAGGTGTTACATTTAAAGATGAATTGTTAGAAACCCATGAACCATCATGAAACCAATACAGAACAACAGAATTGACCTGTTAGCACTTATATCGATGGGACTGCTGTATATTAAGCTAACTATTCCAGTGAAGTTGGTCATGAAAATTAACTGATTGAATATACATGCGTCCAATTATAGGCCTAAACAAGCGTCCAATTATAGGCCTAAACATTTTTTTAATTTACTGTGGGATTAGGTTAAATTATGCTTTCTCTTAGTTTATTATTACTTTTGGTTCTATTTTGGCTATTATTCATTACACAGAGTTCTATTCATTACTTTTAAATATTTTTATTTAAAAATAAGAAGTTACTATTCAATTTTAAGTACCATATTAGAATGCTTTTATCAGTAGTAAGAGGGCTTTACTTTATACAGTACCATTAAATTGTGGTTTTTGATGTATTTAATCTGTGGTTCTTTGAAAAAATGGACAGGTTTATGTCTGGAAATTGTGTATGGAATTATATCTTACACATTTATGACTTTTTTTTTCATTACATTGTTCCTTTTTATGGTCTGTAATTGCTTTTGGACTCCAGCAATAAAAAAATAAATATGGTTTTGTTATAAACTAGCTTTATTGTTATTTATTGCAATGAACATTAAGTAAATTATACGCACTAAGCAAGGTTAAAATATACATTGTATAGTTTTGTTTAAACACAGTTAAAAAAAACATAACATGATTAAATTGTTTAAAAATAAACCCAACAAAGTTTTCAAACTTTATAAAAACACGGAAATTAAACAATTACAAAATAAAAGAAAGGTTTAAGGAAAGAAAAATATTACCAACTAGATTATAAGATAGTGTTCAGGTCTATAATATCTATAATATATAAATGAAATGTGAATAAGAAACTAAAGAAAATACAGAAAAAGACAATAGGTTACGGTAATGCTAACCCCAAATTCAACGATATACTGTAGAAACCTTGAAAACGGAGGTGACAATTGCGGAGGAGACCCAAGACAAACGGAGGAGACCCAAGACAAAATGTACAGTACCCAGGAAACTTTCATACGGCAAAAAGGAATAAAGGACAAAATTAGCATGCCTCGAAGATTAAAAGCATTCGTTGAAAACATAGAGAGGTCTGTAAAACTACTAGAAAGGTAAAAAGTAAAAGTTCTTGAAAATCAAGCCGTTTCTTCAATCAAGCCGGGCTTCTTCCGAATAAAAAATAGCATTATTGTTTTAAATGGAAATATGTCCCGTTTAGAGCAACGCCACAAGTCAGAGTGTACAGGCAAGGGGGCCTGGTGCATTTTCTTACATTGTTGGTAACATTTGTAAACTTAAAATAATAAGAAACCTTACTGTTCATGTGGTTTGCCGTCAACTAATATTACTGGACGATGCTGGTTAACCTCCTGTTTAGAAAGATCTTCTAATGTAAGAATTCTGTGCCCGGGTTTGACCTGGAAGAAAGTTAAAAACCGCGAGTTCAATGGATATAACGCATTTTAAGAAATTGTTTCTCGGTATCTCCAGTTAGATTAAAAGAAAAACTGTTACTCGGTAACTACCTGTCCAGGATCATAAAACCCATCAGTGATTAGATCTGTGGGTGACAAGTAGCCCGTCAGACTGTATTTAATGGAAAGGTTGCTGTCGAGTAGTTTAAGCAGGGCGGCTTCGCTGAATTTATTCCTGCGATTTGATGATAAATTGATGTCCTGTAGGATTTCCAAGGCCCTGTAAAATAAATAATGGAAAATGTAAATGTATGTGTAAAGAAAGTATACCGCTGCACTACATGTTGATTACAAAATCCCTGTAAGCATGTCGAAATTATTGACACATCCTTAATTTATTCTATTTGCAGACGATCTTGTGTAGGTTTGTCGCATGTGGTACATATATGGCAGTTGTCAGAAAACAACCTCTGCCTCACGTAAAGGGATTACAAGTACAAAAAAAATTATGAACAGAAAATGTTTTATGTCCTGACTGAAGTGCTGATTTTCTCCTTTATTTGTAGGTGGAACACAGTAGTAAGCTGACAATATCTCTCCATACCCTGGGAAGATTCCAGAGATCTTCCTACAGGTATTACGACACCACTACCATGAGCATAAAGTAGCCCCAAACTCAATTGTTAATCAAATGTGAGTCTGGTTTATTCTTTGCGCTCAGCTTCTTGTCCTGTTACAAATGAAATATTTTACTTTTGAAAAGAATAAAGTACAGTCGTAATGATTTGCTGAATTGATGTAATATATCTGAATAAATCTGATGTATTATATATATATTGTTCCTGAATTCCTTATATATCGTGTTTTATCTTTATCTATATTTTATATAATATGCTGCATTATATGTTATTCTTTATTAGAGCACACGTACCACTTAAAGAAAAGCAATAGTGGTGTAAAGGGAGTTTTGTTACTTGAAAATATGTAGTACATAGAAAATGTCAAGCACTAGATGCATATGTATACTGTACTGAATTGAGTTACACCGAGTTTATTGCCACCTAGTGGTGCTTTTGTGTAAAGATTAACTAAAACACTGCAGTTTGTAAATCTCCAATGCGTGAAGACTAAAAAAAAACAAGTAACAGCAAAAACTTCTACAGATAATTAATTCCTTTGCAAATCATGTACAATTTGCCAAAACCCACAAGGCAGCTTTCAGAGCGTTTTGTTTCAGTGCACAAATATGCTCCACTTTTTCTAATTAACGAACAAACTTCAGATCATATTACAAAGCAAACTTTCCATTTCCAGACTTGGACTTAAACACTTAATAACTGTAACTGTTGCCATGAAACAAATCTGACTGTTTTCCCATCTTTTGAATGAGAAAAAAATCCCCTCTCTGAACCGTGTACTCTTACTCAGTATATTCTAAATGTTAATCAATTAACACAAGAGAAAAATGCTCTTCTTTCTGACATGCTTCAGGTACATCTCAAAGCAGTACAAAATAAGTTATTATTGACAAACTCAGGACCACGTTTATTCTCTAAAGACTATTTAAAAGGTGAGGCTGTCCATGACAACACAGAATTGTCACCTGTTTATGCGTATGCTGTATGAGGGATGAGCTGAGCTGTGTGAGTCAGCACAGTCTCAAATGGAGATCCCAAACGATTTGCTTTGTTCATCCTAAAAAAGAATGCTGATTATCTGATTTTAGCACATTGGGGTGGTAGGTAAATCTATCCACCCATTTTTCAATTGCCTTATTGTTAAGCTGGTCCACAGTTCCAAAAACAAGTAATGGACCCTATGCGGGTTTCAAGCTCACAAATATCCTACAGCAGTTAATTAAGGAAATCCAAGGCCTGGGTCAAGAGGCGAGCAGAAGTCCAAAGCCAAAAGACAAATTTAGCATCAAGCACCAGAAACACAACCCGAAAGCCAAGGTCAGGAAACAGGCCAGAATCCAGGAGTCCGGCAAGGAGTCCGGGAAGAATTCAGCACGAGAACCAGCTCAAGAACTCAGAGTTGAAAACAATACTAAGCACAGCTTGAACAAAGAACAGGGTTTAAGCAGGTTTGGAGAGGGGAGGTGTGGTGAGGTAGCAATCAGGGATTGGCTACTGCCATGTGCTTAATCTGCACCTCCGCTGCACAGATGAAGTAGGCACTAGAAGTTGGGGTGCCCTCTGGTGGCGTGATGCTGGAACTGTAACACTTCTCCAATAATACAGGGTCACAATGGTGCAAGGCAGGATATACCAGTCCAACACAGGGCGCACATTGACCCCGAAATGCTTAAACACACACCAGGGCAAATATTCCCAGAAGCCAATTAACCTACCAGTATGTCTTTGGACTGTGGGAGGAAACCAGAGCACCTGGAGGAAACCCACACAAACACAGGGAGAAAATAAAGACTTCAAGCAGATAGCACCCCAGGAATTGAAATCAGGGCCCCAGCTCTGCAAGGCAAAGGGTGCAGCACTCAATGACTGCACCACTGTGATATCCCCCCAACAATGTTGAATAAATAAATATATATATATAAAATTGCGGACTTACCCTAACTTGCACAGTTCTACTGCAGTGGGCTCATCATTGGCACAAACCAGGGCTGCCCAGCATGCATTGCATCTTACTTCAGTGTTGTTGGAGTTCAACAGCTTTACCAGTGGAACCAGGCCCCCTGCATTTCTCAGCTACCAGTTAATGAAAAGATGTTAAGCGTTCCTAATTAATATTACTTTTATAGGTGTAGACATTTTTAGCATTAATATGCCTTTTCTACAAAAGCACATGATCACATTACAGAGCCATTACATGTTATTTAAAGATAATTGATTCAAAACAATACATTTTAAGCATAAAGTATTATATAAGGACTGTAAGCGCTCATTTACTCAATAAATTCCAAAATAGTAATATTTGTTGAACTGGTTCTTAGTTTTCATATAATGCTTTATTGATCCCAATCACTATATCTTTCAGTTTGCTCATTCAGCACATTTCTTCACTACAGATGTCCGTACACAACCTTAACTTTATTGTCTATTGCCACACAGAAAGAGTTGGTGGAATTTGCTTTTGGTACAGCAAGAGAACAGTGATGAAGTATGCATACTGTACTACGCATACAATATTAAAAAAATAATATAAATTGGAAAGACAAGCTGAACACAATTGCATGTGTATGTAAAATTTAACCTTACATGTACCAAACAGAATTGTAGAGGGAGGTTAGATCGCTGAGGAGGGAGAGTTCAGAGTTCATATGGAAGTGGGAAAGCAGTTAAGGTTGAAGTGGCTGGTCCTTGAAAGGATTGATCTAATAATAATCCTTACGCTTATATAGCGCCCTTCTGGACACTCTACTCAAAGTACTTTACAGGTAATGGGGGCTCCCCTCCACCACCACCAATGTGTAGCCCCCCACTCGAATGATGCAACGGCAGTAAAAGTGCACCAGTGTTCTCAAACCAGCTATCAGTGGGGAGGAGAACAGAGTGATGAAATCATAGATGGTGATTATTAGGAGGCCATGATTGGTAAAGGCCAGGGGGGAATTTGGCCAGGACTCCAGGGTTAACACCCTTACTCTTTACGAGAAACACCCTGGGATTTTTAATGACCACAGAGAATCAGGACTCCAGTTTTACAGTACTGTGTCCCTGCCATACTGGGGTGAGTGCCCTCTACTGGTTTCCATTAACACCATTTCCAGCAGCAACGTCACACCCGACTGGCTTGGGCCAGACAGAGGCTGCGATGGACTCGTCAGCAGTGGCCTCAGGTCCTCTTCACGGGTGAGTCACTGTCCAGCCTGTCCCACACAGATGGGAGGGCCAGAGTGTGGAGGAGGAGGTGTTGCATTTCTTTTTTCCATCAGTGTATACTGTATATATACGTACTGCCGGCTCAGTTTGCGTTTCCAGAACATCAAAATTCTGAGCTGGATTAGAGGAGTCCGATCTTGTTGGCGTGATTAGAGGCACGGCTCGTGTAAAGGAGGTTCACGGCCAGTGTGATCGACCCCCTGCAGCTGAGCTGGCAAAAGCAGATTTATTCCGCTCGGATCCGTTTCCCTCACCTCGGCTCGTCCCTCCGAATCGCAGGCGAGAGCCGCCACCGCCAGGGCGGCATTGCCCAGCACGAGGCTGTTGCCGGACTGCAGCGCCTCCGCCAGAGCCGGCGTGACCCCGTGAGCCAGAATGCCGGGGCGCAGCGTCTCCTGAGCCGCCATGTTGGTCAGCACGGCGGCCGCGTAGGCCACGGCCCCGTCCCTCGCGTCCGACAGCTGCTGCACCAGCGGCTCCTCGCCCTCGGCTTCAAACACGGCGCTGTGACACGGCAGGCGAGAGAAACACAAGCAGACGGGGGGCCGCCTGTCTCAGAGGAGTTAAGGCGCTCGGTGGGTTGGTCGATTGATTGTGTGGATGGAAAACCGACAGATGCGGCAGTGTTGGCACCCCAGAATGCAACTCAAAAGCACACATCACTGCTGACATATCAACTACGTCTCAGGAACTCAAAAGCTTAACCTCACACCAAGGATGGGCTTGCCAGATAGGTTAGAGTCTTGGATGTGCTTAACTGCCCTCTCAGAAAACTCAATATCTACAATGTCCTTGCATTGTCCAAAACGTTCATGGCACACCAGCATAAATATCTCCTCGCCCGATTATATTTTCAGCTCCCTGCACGTGGCGTGTTTCGATTTATCTTAAAATTTGAAAGCCTCGACCGAGCCAAAGTACCCGAGTCCTGAAAAAAACATGAAAACGCCTCTACCTTTAAAGAGTTTATCACAAATGCAGAAAACGTTATCGGTTGCCATAGTCAAGCAGCAAAGCGCTTCCAGGGTTTCGGAAAAGACCAGCATGCACTGACACCTACTAAGCATTCAGCTGATTGGACTGTGTCAGTTTTGACAGCGCCAAGGCAGCAGCTTCTTTGACTTCTCCATTCTCACTGCTGAGCAACTGAACCACAGGCCGAACTCCTTCTGGAAGACAAAAGAGCTCAATGATTATCTTTACAAGGCTGCTCTTTTGGGGGCTGTTAATTCTGCAGGGCTATCCCTGATGCTGATTAAAAATGCAGAAAAAGCAGAGCATATCTGGACTTTGATCTTCTCGAGTTTATAAGAGACTCAGGTAAACCCGCAATCAAGGCAATGAATGGAGAAGAAGTTCATGCTTATCTGGTCTCTCCTACCTGGCTAGAAGATGGATATCTAAACAGACACTTAATAGTACTGGAATAGGACTGGAAAGATCATTTATGACATTGGAAATTAGGAAGAAAAGATAAGAGAGACTGAGATGTATTTGTCATAGATGGTTTGTTAGATTATGGCCTTAATAAGTTATTATTAAATAGACTCTTATAGATATGATATCTATGAAATAAAGAGATCCTGTATATACAACAGACAAATAGATATATTAAACTGACCTGTGGCATACAGACAGTGTCAAGCAAGAGCCCGCTGAAGAGTGTCAGTGACTCATGATTCAGTTTTGCTGTCGTTGTCTTACCGTGGTTTCTGAAGGAATCCTTGCTGGCCAAAAGGTCACACATGACAGCAATGGCCAGACAGGCAGCGATTCTCACCCCGTCGTGATCCACCGCTAGCAGGGAAACCAGGGTTTTCTCAACATCGTGTTCGTGCAAAATCTTCCTGTTTTCACCTTTCAAAAACATTTTAAACTGCATCAGAGCAAAGCTGGGAAAAAAAACAGAGCTCGTAAGTTACTTGACTTCTGGGAAAATTGGCTCTGGTGTGAGTGTGTGTGTTTGTGTCTGTATTTGGACTGGTCTCCCATCCAGGGTGTATCCTGCTTTGTGCCCATTGCTTGCCGGGACTTGGATTAAGCCTACTCAGACATACAGTACAAACTGTAGAAAACATTGGAGTATTCACATAGTAATGATACCAATTACTGGTAGAGAAAAAGGAAAACAAAACTGAATTCTAGATAATCTTTTCATGGATGGGGTATATTGAAGCTAGAAATCAGCTAGAATATTATATACTTGATATATCTTTGTTCTGGACCTAACAGATTTAACTCTCTTCACCTATTCATATACAACCAGGAACCATTTTTTGTTCTCTTATTTTAGCTCTTTCTAGCCTTTGTATTAAGCCCACAGAATTTGCATTATTTTTCATAGGTTGCCTTTTCAAGCTCATTGTTTTTTATTTCATTTTTATATTCATGTTTTTTCTACCTGCATATACTGTAACATACAGCATTTGTCTACATTAAATGTCATCAGCCAGGTATTTTCCTAATTTTGAATATCTTTTCTATGCCAGAACCTAGATCATTGATACATACAGTATATTCAAGAGCAGTGACTCTTCTGCAGATCATTGTGGAATTTCACCCTCATTTTAGCATTCCAATATATACTCTTATCTTGTTCTCTTTGTTTTCTGTATCAATTAACCTCTACCTGATTCAAATGCATGCATTTCCTTGGATGCCTATCACCTGTAATTTGACAATTAATCTTTTATGAGGACCTTTATCAAAAACCTTAAAACATCTACATTTTCCATATCATATTCTCAGTTTCTATCTTTTTCTCAGTTTGTTTCAAAATGTTGAAAGAACTCTGGCAATTTAGTTCTGGCAACTATTCTCAGACTCTTGTTGTCATTGTCATACAAATTAGTTCTATGAATTGTGTCCATAAGCTTACATGTAATAGAAGTAAGACTTACTGATCCATACAGTATGTCCTTGGTTTGGTTTTGACTATGGATGGGTGATGCATTACTAATTTTACAGTCACAAAGAGAAACACAAATACTAAGGGATCAACATCTGAAACACTTCTTAAATCCCCATGGGAAGAAATTATGTATTTATTACCTTAGTGTTTTGAAAGCAGGACCCTAAGTGAATTATATAATTCCTGACATAGACACAAAAAGTGACATACTGTCCTGCGCTGCCCTTGAAATAGCTTTCGTTGCATTCATCTGAACCTCTGGAAGGGTAGCTGTTTCAGCAAATTGGAGGAGTTTATCTAAACCCCCAGTCTCCTGAATGAGATGCATAGCCTCCTTGTCTTCAAGGCAATTTGAAATCACCTGAAGGGCTTCCACATGCAGGTCACTAAATTCCTGTGGAGCAGAAAAAAACCCAAGGCATATTCATTGTTGTTATTAATAAAAATAATACAATAATTACGTTTGGAGGTCATTATACTTCATTCATTTTTAACTTCACTCCATTTTAATTTAGATTTGGTATTTTTAAGGATAAACCAACAGCATTTTTCTTGTCTTTTTATTTCTCTTTTCCATTGTCTGGAGAAAAGCAATGATGTGCCAGCTTAAACACCTTTACTTTTAGTGTAGTAGCAGGTGTTCAATATTTATGCTATAGAATCCAGCCAGCTTCATGTTGTATTTGTCCAGATTAAAAATCACTTATGAGGTGTCTCCCCTATTCAGAATTGTGTCTGAAAAATTTTGCATTTTTTTAGATTGTATATACATATATACATAGTGTTTTTTTTTCAAATCTCCATCTCCTGCTCTTTTGGCTTTGGAAATTCCCTTTATTAACAGTCAAGATAATCAATTTACATCAGAAAGAGCAGCAAGATCAGAGCCTCTAAAACAGTTCCCTGAGGGTCCCAATTAATTACTTTAATATTGTTAGAAATTTCTTGCTTAATCAGCATTTGCTGTTTCCTGGACATTTACCAGCTCTTAACCCCAGTTGATTTACTTTGTATAGCCACAGCTTTCATTGTCTGAACTATTCATCTTTACTTTCTTAAACCCCTCTAACATATGCAGTACAGTATTACTCTTGCTAAAAACCACTTTATTTCCCAGAAAACTTTTACTATATGTGGAATTTCCTTAATTTATCAAATACATATAGTTAATATAGTCAAATATATATAGTATAAAATAGCTATACTTGTATAGTTACAGGTATGTACAGTAGTTATACTATTTATAAAATAATCAAAAGACTATGTTTTTTTTCTATTTTATGTACCTTTATCTCAGAACAAAACACAAATTATCGATAAATCATTGCAGAACAAACGTTGCTTTAGGGGTTAAACTGTGATCTATTTCGGCATACGTTTTGCATGTTTTTTAGGTAAGGATTAACCTTTTAAGGTTCACATTATGGTTAGAAATCAAAAGCCATCCTCAACAGAATTTTATGAACGAGACCGACTTTGGAAATTTAGTCGTATTCACTTTGCGTTTCAATGTCTTTCGTTGACAAAATAAATTTGAATAACAAATACGTTTACTTATATTCTCATTTGAAAAATATCCAAGTTCATTTAAGTTCATCAAATGCCATCAGATTCATTAATTTCTTTTAATTTTTTTATGGTGTTAATCAGTCCTTCCAGTGAGAACAACTTTCCTCAAAGAATAAAGAGACACAAAATATTTAAGCTCACTTCAACATCATCAAATTGGCATGCCATGAAGAATAATGAGATGCAGCTTAATAATTCAATTTCCAGCAGCTAAAATCAGCAAAATCAAAATGAATTTCAAAATAAATGTTTAAGGTTTGCAATAAAAGCAGTAAAATATATAGAGAGAGTTGTTTTTTTTTACTTTTGCTCCAAGAAATTCAAGAAGTCTCTCCAACCCCTGGTTTTCTCGCAGAGCTACTCTGTTTTCTCCATCATTGGTGATCAGCGCTAGAGTTGTCAGAGTCAGCTGCTGAATGATGGGGAATTCGGACTTCAGCAGCTCCAGCAAAGGGGGGATCCCATTCAACTCACGGACTGCAGAGCGACTTGGAAAATCCTATAAGTACAAAATATACAAGTGATTAAAAGTGGCAAACAGGAGAAAAACACTTTGGCTTAATTCCAGACAGGGGGGGGGGGGTCTTCTGTTTGTAATTAATGGGTTCTGCCTGTGTCCATATGGGTTTTCTATAGGTGTGCTGGCTCCCTCATACCTCCCGAAGATATGCTGCTTGTTAAACTGGTCTCTGTGTGCTTAGGTGTGTGTGCCCTGCAAAGAACTGGCATTCAGACCAGGATGTAGTCCTACATTCTGCTCTTTGGTTCTGGGATAGGGTCTGAGCTACTGGAACTCATACCATGGATAAATGGCTTTCTGGTAATGGGGATGGATAGATGCTTTTCCCTTAATTGCATGTGTGCTTTTTATGTTGTTTTAGACTATGCTCCTTGGAGCCTACTGAAATCATTGTTTCCTTTCCAACCATTCTAAGCAGAAAAAATTGCTTCTGTAACAACAGTTAGGATGTTAACAAGAACAGTAAGTTAGCTTCATTTAACAGTAAAACACTCCGCTAACTGAAGTTATTCACTGGGAATTTAGTGTTCAATAGCTGTTATGTGCTGAAATGCATTAAAAATAAACAAATGACAATTGGGAACATTTGTTGTATTTTTAAAGTCTCTTACTACATTTCTGTAAATACAGTATTATGAAATAATTCTTTAAAATATATGTCTTCTAAGTAAGTACTTTTTTTCTGAAGGAATATTTAGTTAAGCAATGACCAACCAAAGTAAAACTATAAAAAAATAAAATAAATAATTTTAGATTACATTTTAAAAGGGCATCAAATAATATATAGGCATGGACAATTCATTTAATGCTCTTGCTGATCGTTCCATACACCTGGTAATTGTATCACATGCTCCTTTATTTTTATTAGAGTGAAATTATTTTTATATACTGTAAATGTAAAAGTTGCAAAATTACAAATCAAGTAGTGTTCATACAGTATAAAGAAACTTCAAATTAACATATCAAATTTAACTCCCTTGAGCAGAGACTCAAAAAAATGTAAACCCAACCTGGACAAGGTTGTATATGCATTCAACCGCATTCTTCTTGACATCAGGATCCGGACTTGACAGCAGATGGATAAGGGGATCTAAGCCATCATGATCAAATATTTGAACTTTGCTTGTATAGTCAACAGACAAGTAGGCTAGACACAGGCTGGCAAATTCATGGATGACTACATCTTCTGGAGACAAGAATGAAAAACAGAAAGATATGGGGAAAGAGTGAGGAACCACTTCAGAACTATTTCATCTGTGTGCTGCTGCACATAAAAAAGATAAATTAAGCAAAAACAACAAGTAACCTATAACGTATGTATGCGTACTGTATACTGATTGGAAGCACATACTGTATGTCTTTATAATTATCTGCTTTAAGAGTAATATAATGGCTAAGTTAAGTAATATAATATAAAAATTGCTAAGAACTTTGTGAGTCATTTATTCCAATAAAGGAATTTTCCCTATGAAAAAAATAATAGAAGACACATATTGAACATAAAAAATTATTGTGCAATCTATGCATGTTTGATTTTTTTTTTAAAGTATATATATTTTGAATAGGATGGCACTGTAGCGCAGTGTAGCATTGATGCCTCACAGTGCTGGGGCTTGCATTCAATTCCTGGGGTGCTACTGTATCTGCATTGGATTTATACAGTCTCTCTGTGCTTACGTGTGCTTCTTCCAGGTGCTCTGGTTTCCTCCCACAGTCCAAAGAC